CTCGCTATCTAATCTGAAGCTGGCTGTGAGGTGACAATAGAAACAGGCTCTATTGTTCAGTTAAACCCAGTGAAAGGGCCGTTTTGTGTTCGTGAGGCATGAATTCCTTCCTAATCTGGGTCAACGAATAGGTAACATCTCTACATGCCAGCAGTGCTCATCCTGGTGCCACAGGTCAGGAAGATGGGCAGCACCCAGGGCTGTGGGTAGTGTTCAAAGGAGACTCTCCCTTGGGTGACCTAACACTTCAGATGCAGCGCAGCTTTTCTCCACCGTCTGACATTGTCAGGAGGGCCAAATGGATTTTTGACATTTTTAGGACAAAAATAGAAAACTCTTAAATTAATTCATGACTACTATATATATCACACCTGAGATGTTTAAACTCATACCAAATGGCTGAAACTGGCTCTCACATGTACACAGTGTTAATGCAGGGCAGGCAGGAAGGCATGCAGAGAGGTGCCAATGCAAACTCCCTGTCAGAATAGTCATGCTTGCATTAGACATGCGTACACACACACACACACACACACACACACACACACACGTATTTGTTATGTAAGTGACCAAACGCATCTGAGTCACAAACTTCTCATCTGTTAGATGAAGGGAATAACAATACTTATAGGGATGTAATAAGGATAAAATAAAGTAATATATGTAAATCGAACTCCACACAGTGCCTGGCATGTAGGGAGTGCTTATTAAATGGCAGCAAGTGTCTTTACCTTAATTAAACCTTATTTATGAAATTTGACAATGTACCACTTCCTTTGCTTTTACAACCCATGGAAGATGATATTAGAGATAGGTGAGATATTACCGATGCTATGATTCTGTGTACTCATTCTGTTGACGAGAAAACTGAGGCACAGAAAGGAGAAACAGTAATCCTAGATATACATAGAACAGGCTTTACTACTCAGATCTTTAGAATCTATGTACAGTGCTGATATATGCAAAGAGAAAGACCTTAGGACTCAGAACATCCAGGTTTGCTGCTTCCATGAGCGAGTCATACAGTTTAACCATCTGCAAAATGGATGTAAAAATAGCCAAATTGAAAATGTTATAGCAAGTGAGATAGAATATATAAAAGCGCTTTGTAAACTGCAGAATGTTACATAACTGATCCTTAATATTACGATTTCTTCTTCTTTAAAAAATGCAGGCAAACATAGACCCTAGACACACATAATCCTCTCAAAGTGCCATTCAAAATCCTTTTGGATAATTTTTCATGGCACAGGGACTAGACCAGGTCAGATTCCGAGTGTGACCATTCGCTCTCTGTTCTGTTTCAATTCTCATCACTCTCAAAAGCGGCACCTTGGACAGAAGCCAGAGTCTCAGGGCACCTGCAACATTCTCAGGGCACTTTCTTACTGGCTGCAAACCATGGTTGCCTTGCATTGTGACCCCCACAGGGAGGCACACATAGAAACCCCACCTCCCCTCCAACCTTACAGACTGCAAGTTCAGGAGACAGATATCCATCCACATGGAACCAGGGCTTCTGTGACCTTCCCTGTTAGACCTGGGTACACTGACGGACAGCTTGCCACCTGCTCTAAGAAACGAAAGTTGGCATTGTCATCTGTCTGCCTACACACGAACTGCATACATTTCAGGGCTTAGAAATATTCCAGTGGATAAATTTATACTGAAGCACAAAGCATGCCCGCTTGTGAACTCTGTACGGCGTAGCAATGCCAGCCAGGGCCATAAAATCAGTTTCAAAACCACAACAAAGACATTTGAAAATATGAGTGTTAATTTGGAGTGAGGGAAGGGAAGGTGAAGATGAACACATGGGTAACACAGGAAATAACTGCAAATCTAGTTTTAAGGGAGAAAAAGCCACCAATTTGCCATTTTACCAATTCACAAAGAGAGTGTCCTTCAAGGTCACGGGAAACAGGAGAGGAGAAACAATTTTAGAACTTAAAAGTGCTTTCAGGGTGAGCTTATTATATAAGCGATTCTACTAAGAGCGATTCTACTAATTTAGTGAGAGGCTTTATTTTGTGACTTTATTACAAATTGTAGTTGAAGACCAATTTCTTTCACAAATTAGTGTGAAACTGAGGGGAGCTTGCCGAGAACGATAGAGCTGCTATAAATGTATAGACCCGTCTTATGCCAACACATTTTATTTGCTCTTGAAGCATAATTTCAAAATTATAAAGCATGGGTTGCTTAATATGAATGACTTGGTAAGGTACCAGGACCCTAACTAGATGCCACTAAAACAGCAATCTGACTCGTGATTCTGTTTATATATTGCTCAATTAGTTTTTAAAAATAAGGATGTGTTTCAAGAGGCACTGAACACCTGACTCAAATTCAGCCCCAATACATGGCATCTTCACCCATTGCTAGGATTACTTTTAAAGCGCGCTTTTGACAAACGTTAAAGGGAAAGAGACCTCAGGAACACAAAAAGCTTGCTGTTTGCTTAGATCGAGGTGGTGGTTGTGGGTGGGGGAGGGCGTAGGGGAAGGTCACAGACATTGCAAAATACAAGCCAATACACATGTCACGTCTTACCTTCTGGGCTCTGGGTTTGCCTGAGTTTTGAAATCTTTTCTTCTTTTACTTTCCTTTTTTGTGTCTTTTTTAGCCTCTGGTTCAGATGGGGAGGGGGTTTTGCTCCCTTCGGGGTCTGTGTGTGGTGGCAGCCCACTAAGGTACACATGCATTTGTTGACTTTGGAGAGGGGGTGTTGGCACGGGGCATGCACAGAGGGTGGCCAGGACAGGAGAATCAAGAGCCCACACACATGCACAAACAAAAGAAATAAAGAGAAGGATGCATCAAACAGCAAGAGCAAATGCATTCGAACCAAAATAATAAGGAAAAAAGATGCAAACTTGCATAAGGAAAAATCAGAACTGAAAAGAAAATAAGAAACCCCAAACTGTTTCCATGACAAGATGTATAAACCTAACTGTGAAGCAAGTGGCAGTCTTACAATATGAAATCCAGACAATGTGTATCATAATTCATGATGATGTTTACCAGGGAGTTTACAACAACACTTCATTATTTTATAACACTTTCTTATTCAGTAACATATGTAGAATACAGTGTGACAACCCAGAGAATATAATGCAACTTCTCTCTCTCTCAAGAATTCAGTCCAAGAGGCTGTAACAGATAGTCATCAAAGTGTACATATTTATAAAAAGCAGAATTATGCGCAGATACGTCTCAGGTACCAGGTTTTCAAAAATACCCTTTGTGCAAATAAAAGGTCCTATGCAGGGTTAGTGAACCTGACAATAATGGCAGATGATAAAAACCTGATTGCCTGCTAACTATGCAAACCTACAATGCTATTGTTATCTAGCTCTAAATGCTAAAGGTGCATTTGATAAAATCCACCCCCACTAGAAAAAAAAAGGCACAGAACAGATCCCACAGACATTCCTGAGTTGGATACCTTGCAGACATGAACATGGCTGACATGGTTCTGACTTGAAATAAATGCAGTCAATTCAGGGTTTCCTCACGTGAGAATTTCTCAGAGCAGCGACCTTTGCATCAAGGGCCGGGCTTCTGAAGTACCTAGATCCCCCTGGGGGTGCCTTCCCTGGTGCCCAGAGGGGTGCCCTGGGGTGAGGCAGGCTCGTCTTTGCAGCCATGGGAGGCTATGTGCATTGGGCTAGCAAATTGGCTGTGGCAGTGTTGAAATGTATTCCACGTCTTCAGAGCCAAATGAAAACGTTCTTAAATTATTTGCTGTTTTGCATTATTCAGAACTTGGATCTCTTCCTCCAGGAGCTGGGCAACGTCTAAAGGAAGAGAGTACTTTGTACAAAGTTAGGAGAACGGAGGCTCTGGTCTTGTCTATAAAACCTGTAAAATGAGCCGAAACCAGTTTGGCTCAGTGGATAGAGCATCGGTCTGCGGACTGAAAGGTCCCGGGTTCGATTCCGGTCAAGGGCATGTACATTGGTTGCGGGCACATCCCAGTAGGAGGTGTGCAGGATGCAACTGGTCGACGTTCCTCTCTCATCAATGTTTCTATCTCTCTATCCCTCTCTTTTCCTCCTCTCCCTTCCTCTCTGTAAAAAAAAAAAAAAAATCAATAAAATATGTATTTAAAAAAAACAACACAAAACCTATAAAATGAGGGGGCTGCTCATGTGGTTACCTCTGCCGTTCTCCGCAGCTCCATGGCGACACTGAAGGCGCTGTGACTCTCTTCGCCCTTCAGCGTCCCCTGCTTGTGCCAGCTCTTGAAATGGACAAGGCTTCCTCCCTGTGCAGGGCATTTGCACAAGCTGCTCCTTCTCCCTGGAGCTGCTCAACTCCTACGTTTGCTTCAGTTCTCAGCCCGAGCATTGCTCTGTCCGGGAGGCCCTGCTGCTGACCTGCCACTCCCTGGGAGTCCTGTTCCTTTACTAAATGCTGTCATGACATTTTACCCCTGTTTAGTCAGAACACGGGTCTCCATGTCCCTCTGCCCTTGTTCCGTGTTTAGTTCTTGTTCATCCTGCATGTTGAATGTCTTCCAGAGTGCCTGACACTCGGTGATCGTTTAATATTTATGGAAAGAGTGATGGTAACAGCAAGACGAACCTTTAACCCCTCGCCAGATCCCAGGCAGGTGCTGCGCCCTTTCTGTGCCCTTGCATCCTCTCATCAGCCATGCGAGGACATGACTGTCCCGTTTACAGTGTGAGAACTGGCACAGAGGGTGCCACTACCACCAGGTCATTGCTAGCAAGGGGGGGCGGGCGGGCTGTGATTTAGACCTGGTTGGCTCTCACTTCACAGACCCTCTTCAAGACCCTGTGCCACTTCCTTTGAGTCTTTGGAAGGAAAGCTAGCCCTGTGTGCTCTGTGTCTGTGTTCTGTGTCTGTGTCTGTGGGTCTGTGTGTCCTCCTGAGGGAATGGGGGAGGGCAGAGGGTTAGCAGTGACCCTCAAAGCAGAACCAGGCCTAAACCAGGAACATGACCTTGAGGGGTCCCTGCGGCTGGCGCTCACCTGTTCCCGTGGACGTGGGATGCGCAGAAGGCAAAGCTGTAGTGCAGGAGGGTGGGGTCGATCATGGCTCCGTTCTCCGCCCGCTCCAGCAGGTCTCGGAGGTAGCAGAGATGCCGGTGGCAGCCTCGGACTCCATTCCGGGCGCAGTACTCATCAAGCACAAACACCTGCCCGGGACTGAACCAGCCCTGTGCGGGGAATAGAGGAGAGACTTTCTTTTAAATACGGGTGGTTGTAGTCCTTCGGGAGGGCTGCGAGAGCTGGGGGAGAGTGTAGAGGGTTAAAAATAGCCCGAGCTGATTGCTCAGCGAGTGCCCGCTGTGGCGCTAACCACTGGGTGTGCTGTTCGGGGTAACCTCAGACCAGCCCCACGTGCATGTGATGGGTGGGGACCCGAGGTCTGGGAGCACATGGAATTTCCCAGAATCCCAGAGCTAGTGAGTGGAGGTGTCTGATTAGCAGAAAGCATGATTCCAGAGGGGGTCTTCCACTTCCCAACACTGATCTGTACATCGTAGGAGAGTGCTGGTGTGGGCATGGGCAGTCTCCATCACTGACAAGAAAAGTAAAAACACGAATGCCTTAACATGGGACAGTGCTCCCTACTTGGCAAGGAGTTTTCAGCAGAGCCCCAGGGCAGGCTTGCGGGGGAGACAGGGCAGATTCATCTTTGTTTAACTGATGAGGAACTGGAATCAGGGCTAGTGAGTGACTCACAGACACCACAAACACAGGCAGGACTCAAACCAGCTCTGTCTGACTCCACATCTCCTGGTTTCCGTACTCTGGAGCATTAAGCCATACTGTGACTGGCCTATCTGATTACCAGGACTTCATAAACCCTCCACTTTGGAAGCAAACATTTGGGGGGAATATAGTCAATAATATCGAGATAATGCTGGGACCAGTTTGGCTCAATGGATAAAGCGTCGGCTTGGGGACCAAAGGGTCCCGGGTTCGATTCCGGTCAAGGGCATGTACCTTGGTTGCGGGCACATCTCCAGTAGGGGGTGTGCAAGAGGCAGCTGATCGATGACACTCTCTCATCAATGTTTCTAACTCTCTATCTTTCTCCCTTCCTCTCTGTACAAAATCAATAAAATATAAAAAAAAAATAATATCGAGATAACTATGTATGATGCCAGGTGGGGACTTAAAGTGTCAGGGATGTCCACTCCGTAAAGGACATCCTTGTCTAACTACTATACTGCACCTCTGAAACGCATACAGAATATATTGAATGTCAGCTGTCATTGATTTTTTAAATAATGATGATACTTTTCCAAAGAGAATAACATACTAAGTTTTGAAGTAGCGAGTTAAATGGAGAGGAGCTTTTGCCTTAGCTCCTCTATTTGTCTTATTATTTATTTGTTTGCTAAAGGACCAGGTGAAACTCTGCCATAAAGGAGAACCTCTGATTTGAGCAAAATGAGAGGCACGAGGCACGCAAGAAAACAGATGCTCAGAGAGGACGAGGGACTTGCCCTTCAAGGTCACCGTGGGGCCAGCCTGAATCATGACTGACTACTTTAGGTTTCAGTACTTTTCTGAATCAAGAAATAAACCACGTTAGGTGGCCATTTGTGAGCTGGGGACTTAGGGTTGTTTTAAATACAATTTTACTCGGAGGCTCTTCTCTGAGTCACCTTTTGAATACTGCTTTGCCTCGGGAGGGAAAATGCAAAAGGAGGAAGTGACAGGGTGCAGGTAAAGGCCACAGAAGGGCAGTGAGGGAGGCCCCTGCAGCCCTCGGCTCTCATATTAGTGATCTGCAGACGCTTCCACTGACAACATGCAGCTCAGCAATGCATCCAACGAGACGGCATCTTTCCTATTTCAAATGATAAGTTACTGCAGAGGGCGGGAGAGTAGTCGAGGCAGTGGGCTGCCCCTATAGGCAACTTCTTTGCCACTCCATCTGCTACCCCAAATGCTAAATCTTAGAAACAACACTGCTGTGAAAGATTAAAATATATTTTCTACGACTCGGATGACACCACGTCTTTTGTAGATGCCAAAATAGCTGCTTTGAAAAGAGTTGAAGAAATATCAATTAGGAACTCAGTCGAAGACACAGAAAAATTTATGTATCCCTGCTGGTCGGTCTCCAAAACTAACTGAAATAAAAAGATTGTAATAATGAGAAAATGGGATAGAGAGGCAGGAGATAGGGCTTTTTAATTGCTGTTATTTTCTGAAACTTTGGGATGATGATTAATAGATATAGGTATGCAAATGGGGAAGAAAACAATTTTATGCTATTATAATTAATTCTGGATTTGGGAGCATATTTGCAAGCTATACATGACTAATAGAGCACAGTTTCAAAATCAAAATTTTATTTCTGGTTTATTTATTTAATTTTTTAGAAAGTCAAGTCTCCTTAGTGATAAATTTCTCAGTGAAAAAGAAAATTGGCTTTAAAAAATGATGATGTAAAAAAAGTCCTGAAAATAATACAGCTCAAAATTTTTTTTCAAGAGAATAGAAATTATATGTGAAGATAATGAGTAAAGTTCAGAGGCATATTCTTACAAGTTTCATGTGTGCAATTTATAATTACACAAAAGATCACATAATCGTTGGAAATACATTAGAGAAAAATTGCCTTGCAATGCAAGGTAAGCTCCCCACCCCCCACCCCCCCGCTTTTTAAAAAAAATTTTTTAAAGTGAAAATGATATTTTCTTTTCCAATTTGGCAAAGTTCAGATTCTTCTGATAAAGTGATTCCAAACCTGAGATAATCAATGCATCTTTTATGAGATATAGATCAATAATTATTCCACATAATACTGCTTTGCTTTTTAAAGACAATTTTATCTACTATTTTTAATATTTTGGTCTCGGCTACAGAAAAAAAAGAGTTTTAAATAAAAATTAGTTGGAATAGATTTAGGATGTAGCTGTGCCACTTAAAAAGGAAAATATTTTCATTATATGTATGTTAGTATCCATGATATGTTAAGTATATCATATTAATTACTTAAGGACCTCACATTAATAATATGCAGATATAGTAAACCTAGGAGCAGAGATGAGGCTTTTTCTCTGTGTAAAGTCATTTCTTCATTTCCCTCACCTTTCCCATCTATAAAGTGGAATTCATAACATTTACCTTTTAAAAATGAAGTACTTTATGGTTTGCAGAAGAAAAGAAATTGGGTCCTTTTTAGGCTTCCAATTTTGATAATACAAAGCCACAAATGTCTCTTCAGACATAATAGCAGTCTCTTGAATTTAACCGATTTAAATCTGGGCTTAAAACAGAATTGCAAGAGACATGCTCCATTGCTGGGAGCTGGACTTCCAAATGCCTAATGCGTCATAAAGACTCCCCTCAAAGGGTGAAATGCTCTAAATGCCACTAAGAAAAAGAAGCCACCCACCCAAACCAACCCAAACCAGTTGAGCTTATGCAAAATCAAGTGGAGTTGATGTGCAAATCACTTCAATCTTTCAAAAATAAACAGAAGGGACACATTCCTTTCCGAGACAGGAGCACGGGGTCTTATCCGGGATGGGAAGGCAGGCGGATCTTAAAGCCTAGAAACCCAGTCGGGTTTTACAAGTTCTCTACCAGCAGATGCCAAATTTGGTTCCCCTCTCGGGAATATTTCTCATGTAGCAGCTGAAAAGGGGGAAGCTCGGATACGGAGGCTGGTGAGTTGGATCGTCTCTACTGATAACTTCCTGCCGACTCCTTTCTTTGGGAAGGAAAAACTATCCCGACCCAGGAAATCAAGGACACTTTTATCATTGTCAAAGGGGCTCTGTCCTGGAGAAAAGAGAGCTTCTAACAGCAAGGTAAAGAAAAGTTTCATAAAAAAAAAAAGTCATCGTGTTTAAATTGCTGTAGAGCAAAGAATATACTTGCCAGGCAAGAATAGGAATCATTAAGTCTGTGATCCAAAGTAAGGCGTTGCACCATCTCAAAGAGGGAAGCGTGGTCAAAGTTACAGGGGTTGGACGAGATAAATTCATCCATGCCATGCTTTTGAGCTCTATCTGCGTCTGTTCATTTATACATGTGGAGAGAGACACAATTTAGAGAAACACATCACATTTTCTTTGACATTTCAAACACACAGGAATTCACTAGGCACTACGAACACTAGCTGTTTCCCGACCCCTCCCACCAGCACTCCCAGGTAGTCTTTCCACCTTCCCATTGTCAACTTGCATCACTTACTGGTGAGTTTATTGCATGTAGGCAAGACTATATTGGCATCAATGTGTTTATCAAATGATCACAACTCCAGTGCCTTTATGCCGTTCTTTACAGACTAAGCACACGACCGTCACTTCACCTGCTTTTCACCGAACACTGAAAGCAGATCGGATCTTTGCTTCGAGAAGCCTATTGAGCTCTGCAGCTTTTGAATAGATTCTGCCATTCCAGTGGTTATGTCTAGAGCAATTTCTCTACAATTGTTGGGATCATCTGGGAAAGGGTTAGGCTGATTTTCAGCGAAGTGACAATATTTGGATCCACCCCTTTCAAGTCCCCACTGCCAATTTGGTTTCACAAAAAGGTTTGGGTCCCCACCCTCCAAAATTAAATAATAATAATAATAATAATAACAACAAAAAGATTTTTATTGAAATCTGGAGAATAAGCTAAAAGGGATTTAGTTTGGGGTAGCCAGGGACGTTGCCTTTGCCTGGGTGTACTCAGCTAGCAAAGCTTATGGAAGAGACAAGCCAATGCACTTGGCAAGGTCTAGGATCTGCCATTTATTGTGAATTAATAATCTCAATGTATTCACACCTTCCCTTACAGGGCGAAGGCTGTAGGCAAAACCTCCTAGGGGCTACCTAATTAATCTCAATATGTGTAACAAAAATACTCTACACTCCATCGGCAAAAGAACGCAGAGAATCCAAGCAAAGCCTGACGAGGTAGGAATGAAGGTCTGAGGCGTGAAAGGAGTCAGCTCACTCCTCCTCACACTGGTTCCCTCTCCTGATATGCAGACTGTGGAGAAAAGGAATCTTGTTTCACATTAAGCATGAGTCTCTTCATTCCCTGCCTGCTCTGTTCTGCGTGTGGGGGCCTGCCAGGGACCAGGAACGCTGTCAGGGCACAGGGAAAATCGAGGTTTGACTTGAGAGGGTGTTTGGGTAATATTTTCATACAGGGCCTTCCTTGCAGGCAGTTTTGTCCCCCTCCTGTGCTTGGGGAATGGCTGAAAACTTGGGTTTTGCTAGCAGTGTGACTTTAAGACGATGGTTTCAGATTTATTTAAAGTGATAATTTCTCCTCACATTATAGATTTTGTGGATCTAAACAATATATGCATGGAATGTTAGGTTTATGCCTCCTTATTGTCAGAATTTCCAAGTCTTCAGTCATTTTTCCACAGAAGCAGCAAGTGGTCAGTGTTTGAGCAGAGTGTGCTGTGTATGCCCGAGACGCCCAGAAGCGACTGTTTCCAGCAGGCACGTGAAGAATGAGGATTTTTAATAGCCAAACCGCTCTGTTCGGAGGAGGAAACACAGGCTTATAGAGGGAATATCACATGTGCAGGAATTATATGAGAGGATCTGAAAGAATCCTCTTGCTGTGTTAACTGTCAGAGTTGTATTCAAGGAAGTGCTTCCGTGTGAGGTGAGGGGCTGTGTTTAGGAGGATTCTTTTGTCTGATAGTTTGGTCTCAAAGCTACTTTCTCCCTTGACTCGGGGTGGTTGGCAAGAGAGGTAGCCAAGAAGTTGGTGCTGGGGACAAAAGCTGGCTGCTTCCAGTGCATGCGTGAATGTGTGTGTGTGTGTGTGTGTGTGTGTGTGTGTGTGTGTGTGTGTGTGGTGTGAGTGGTGGGTGGGGGGGTGTGTGTGTGCTTCTCTGGCCCAAGACAAGTGTTTAAAGCTGCTCCGACTTCAGGTCCCTCCTACCCACAGAATGGCATGCCTGCAGTCCAGGGGTATCCTGCATCGCTCAGCTCCATCCTGTCGGCCACTTTAAATGTGGAGAGACTCACGGGGAGCAGGGGGGGTGTCCTGTGTGCATGGATTGCTCCTCCGGTGGCACCCCGGCCTGCCTCCCCATTGGAACAAACAGGCCTTTCTTAAGTAGCACAGCCTCCTGCTCTGGGATTTCTCAGAAGGAGTCTGAAAGTGGATACATCGGCCTGGCCCTTTCTCTGCCAGTTTGGCTCAGCTCTTTTATTGCTCCCCAATTATGCTGGTGCCACCGGTTATTTAGCTCAAAGAGAAGGGGGCTCTTCTGTGGCTGTTAGAAAGATGGCACGTGCCCTACGTCTCTTAGTCTTTCTTTTTGGGTTGAACTACTCGCAAACTTCGCGATGAACTATTTCGCCTGCTGCCCACTCAGGAAGCGGATCTGCAAAGGCGACTTGGCTCCTTCGCAGAGACCTGGCTGCAGATCCCTGCGCCGCCTCCCCGCCCCACAACGCGGCTTCACCTGCCAACTCCCAGCCCGCAGCACATCTGAGGAGCAGTCCTGCTTTTATGTTTCCAGCCCGGCTTACCGAAAAACAGGCTGGAGCTGGGTTTCTTTTCAGAAAGGAACCCTAGCCACATACAGATTCCTTTTCCCACCTCCCTTTCTTTTCTCTCTCTGGGCCCTCCTGTAGAAAGAGCCTGGGATGGATGTGGAGGTCTAGATTCAAGTGTAAGCTCCCTTACAGAATAGCCGTAGGCTGCCGGCTGGGAGATCTCAGACCCTCCGCTTCCTGTGTGCAAACTGAGCTGAGCTTTCTGCTCCCTTTCTGCTGCCACTGTCGTTCGGCCACCTTGCGATCCCTTCACACACCTTCTACATGTGTGGGATGGAACTTAATGGAGCGGCGATTTCTAGCAAGCCAAAGGAGTAGCCCCTGGATTTTGCTGAACACAAAATCGCCATTTACTCAGAATTAGGCTTCAATCATAATAACGGTTTCAACAACTCAAGAGCACTTACAAGGGTGGCTGGCTCCTGTGGAATCTTTGAGAGTTTCATTGAGCTTGTTATGTTCAGAAAAGTGAAAGAGGAATGCCGTTTGAAGATGTCAATGGAAGGGATCTGATTTTTAAGTTCCTTTCAAGTAGGGAATTTTGTGTGTGTGTGTGTGTGTGTGTGTGTGTGTGTGTGTGTGTGTGTGTGTAGTTGTACTCACTATATTTCCAGAATCTAGACTAGTCTCTGGCACATACATATTAATATAATGAGTTTATTTCAAAAAAATAAATAAATGCACTCCTTCAACAAGTATTTTCTATTTCTTGATTCCTTGGAATGTTGAATGCTATAGTCAACGGGAACAAGTTTATTGAAGCTAAAATAGCAGGTGGCTTTGGGGTTCCCAGACTGACTCTGAGGCCAGCTCTGCCTGAAGAGTGTGAAGCGAGGCAGGTGGATTAGTATTTCTGAGTGCCATTTCCTCACCTGTTGGCTGAGCTTAGTGTGAGTCTCCCTCAGGGGGCTGGAGGAGAAGGGCTGGGAAGCGCGGGAGCCTGGCACAGGGTAAGTGCTCAGTGCACTGCCCCTGCGAGGGAATGCACAGGCTTCTGTGTGCTCCCGAAGCCATCCTGTTCATGTGCTCAGGGAGTGACGGCTGCCTCCAGCTGAAAGCTACTGTGAGCCACAGGTTGCTCCTTAAACTGTTTTGTGCTCTGAAGCTGGGAGTACTTTCCAATCGCTCCGCTTGATGCTCCTCCTGGCCCCTGCATAGCCAACGCCCAGATCCTGTCATTGTGTTTTCACTGGGGTCGCTCCAGTTTCTCTGCGGAGTCCCTTGGTGGGTGATAGGTTCCTTGCGGGTAAGTTTCTGATCTGTAACTTCTCTTACCAGCCTCCAGAGGAGCTGGGCCCTTCGGAGGTGCTCGCTAATGGACTTATTCTGACACTCCCGCCCCAGAACACTTCCCCACTGGCTTGAATAAGGAGTCACACACATGGGGATTCAGATGGCATCTTGCAAATCCCAAAGTGGGAACATGTGCTCTTAGGGGGGGGAAAATCTCATAGGAGGAAACAGAATTGTAGGTGCAGGTGTCTTTGGCTACCGTTCAGACTGTCTGCCTGTGTCTCCATACATGTCTAGGACCATATGCATTACATATGTTGTCTATTTTAAAATAAAACACTGCAGTGGTCCAGCTGTTCCAAATTCTGTTTCAAAGAACTTGTGGGTGCTTCCCAAGCAACACCATATAGTCATTCTTGCACTGTCCCAGACTGTTCTCCTCCAGTGCCAAACATTAAAAATTAAACGCTCCTTGCAATCCCATTTCCCCCTCTACAAACAAATGGATTTGGTAGATTAAAAAAATAAAATAAAACTCCAATGTTGACATTAACAAGGGGGAAATAGCCCAGAGACAAAGTGTAAGAAAGTTAATTTTTGACTTCAGGACACCTTGGGATCACTTCCTTTGCCAATGTTTGGCAGGTGTCAACAGAATGAACATGGATTTTAACAGTAGGTTGAGCAAATGAAAGAACTAGGAGAGTGAAGTGGCTGCTTAACATTCTAATGATGTCTGTATTATTCCTTGGTTTAGGGAGATGCATACCCATGCTCTTATTATTACTACTATTCGTCATCATCATCATCATTATTGTTATTTAGAAATCAAAGATTGATGGCTGCATTTTATGGATTGACTTTCATCTTTGCTCTTTACCTTTTCCAGCCCTGGTTGGGCAGCTCCTAAGCTGTGCTGGATTGGCAAGGACTCCAAATGTACTGCAATGGGCTATGCAACTGTATAGGACCTGCAGCTCGGGCATAATCCAACACATCTTTCAAAGGATGCTGCTTGTTTCACTTCTGGGAGTTAACCGCATCAGGAGTACAAAGTCCTTTATAGCATGGGCATAGGAGACTGACTTCAGACTAAACTTAGATGGGTAAAGCTGGCACTGGCACCTAACTGCACTCGGAAACTTAGCGCACTAGCAGCAGTATCAAAGGCACAAGCGCAGGCTGATGGACATAGAGACTTGTGGAAGAGAGCTTCCAAATGGAAACTAACCAAATCCTTTAACCCAGGTTTGCTGAGAAACAAT